ATAGTTAATTGTATAATTTACGTTTCAAGATTGTAGCGATATATATATATATATATATTTTTTTTTTAAATGTGTGCATCGTTTCTTTCGATTCATAGAGGAACGATAGTATAAAAATATGTTAATATCAGGTTTAACCTACTTATTACTGTAAATTCTGTTTTGTCGGCTTTTATCGAGCAGTTCGAATCAGATGACATTCCACTTAAATTCTAGACAGGTGAAATCTGATTTCTGACTCTTAGATATCTCTCCTTCGAGTTTGTCATTTTTTTATTGCTGGTGGAAAGCAAAATATCCACGAAGAGTGACACACTGTGAATTATCCCAGATGTTTTATGAGTCTGGAACTGTAAAAAGATTTCGTTTGACCACGAACGATTCTTCACAATTTATTCACCACAGTTGGTACACAGAGTCAAGCATTTGACTTGTGACACGGAATCGATCACGTGATCGATCGAAATACCTTCAGCCTATATTTCCATCCATTCAGATACACAACGTAACGTAATTAAACACATTGACAAATGACAAACATCAAAATAGACACGAACAGTTGTTCTTCACGATCATTTCGCAGCATTATTTATGGCAACAGATCTCCGTGCAAATTGAACTTAAAGAAGTCGATGAATATTGGAAGACTAGTTAATAAGCCTTTCAATATTTAAAGTAAGTAACATTGTAATATTTAGTAGGTGAAACTGTTGTTGTGAAATTAATTTTGAAAATTAATTATTACTACTTCGTATTTATTTACTTACTTTTGGAAATTATCCACACTCCTGAAAATATGGACTCCGGAAAATATCGCACGAATTATTCATAGTATCCGTAGAATACACGAAATTATACAGACCTGTGCCAGGATATGTGCCAAGACTCCAGAACTGGAATTGACATTCGCTCGTTCCACTTTCAGAGAGCCCTTGAACTCCTTTTTACCTTCCCACGCGAACTGTTTTGCGCCTGATAGCCTGTATTTAAAGCGAGAGGGCCGTGCTTTAACCCTTTATCCGCTCGCTGATGCCCTCTCGCAAATTGGATTCGAGATTTTCTCTTTAACCAGAGATTTAGCGAAGAGATCTTTCTTGTTACCATCATTCAAAAGTTTTGTTTTCATTTAATTAGATTTCCCTACCGACTCGAAATGAAAGAAACTAATTTACGATTTCAGTCTAGTTCGTTCGATTTGTTAGAAATTAAAAAGAAAAAAAGAAATTGCTGTCTTGAGGAGAAATCTCGACTTTTCATTCCATTGGAAAGGCCACAGCGATAGTTTATTGTACGTATTGTCCTCTATTTACAAGAAATGAATTTCTTTGAAAATCCAAAAGAAAAGAGAAAAAACTAAAGTGGAACTCTCTTAACGTGTTAATTCTTCACTCGTACAAATCAGTTTATATTTGCCAAAAAAAAAAAAAAGGAAAACTCGACTTCTCAATAACTGACAAATATCCTGAGGAAACATGAAATATTTCGGTACAATCGACAAAGGAACAATTCTGTGGAGAATGCTCTCCAAAGATTGACAATTATTCCAAAGATACTGGAACTCTTTCGACTTAATCAAGAAACCGTGTTGGGATGAGAAATGAAAATTGCAAAAGAGGCAAAAAGAAGGAAGGACAGTTCGGTGTTTCTTGGCAGATGCAGCTTGTCAAAAAAATTGACAAATATTTCAAAGATGAAAGCCGCAGCTCTATCGAGAAACGGAAATTGTGAAATAGATAAATGGAAGGACAATTCTGCCAAGAACCGAATCGGGGACGAAAAGATTGCCAAAGAGAAGAAGGAAAAGTTCCTTCGCAGGAACCGAAATCAAGAAACCGAGTTGGGATGAGAAATGAAAATTGCAAAAGAGGCAAAAAGAAGGAAGGACAGTTCGGTGTTTCTTGGCAGATGCAGCTTGTCAAAAAAATTGACAAATATTTCAAAGATGAAAGCCGCAGCTCTATCGAGAAACGAAAATTATGAAATAGATAAATGGAAGGACAATTCTGTCAAGAACCGAATCGGGGACGAGAAGATTGCCAAAGAGAAGTAGGAAAAGTTAAACCACACGCAGCAACCGAAACTTCTGATGAAAAAACGAAAATTGCGAAAGAGATAGAAGAAAAGCCGGTGGTTTGGCAGGTAAAAGGATCGGCGCGAGAGGCAGCCGATGAATCGTGACTCACGGAACGACATAGAGGACACGGTGTGCAAGTTCTCCGCCGATCGTCGAGATCGTTGCGGTGTGTACCTCCACAGGAAAGTTTGCACCGATGCGATGGCCGCGAAGGTGTGCAAGAAGGAACGGATCTCGCTGTTGCGTGCAGCGAGCCGCAGGCTAGAAAGTAGCCGGCGACTTATTACGTTTGTCGTGGCCTGCTGCATATCTCTCCCTTGGCTGCAACAGGCCTTCTTCCTCTTCAAGCTGAGTTTCCAACGGCATTTACCGCAAACAGGATCGCACGAATCGGACCACCCGTGGCCGCGGTTCCAACTCCTCTTAACATTGACATTGCCAAAAGGAATCTTCGATGCCTTTCTGTCACGTCTTTTT